ATTGAAAGTTTTGGAGTAAAATCCACCTAGTGGTTAAGAAAATGTTTGATAAAACCATAGCCTCCTCAGGTATGTATCAACTGCAGCATCACATATTTTTCTTCATCTCTATGGAATTAACCATTCTATTTTTAAGGGCATTGAAGCTGAATGTAAATCCGCTAAAGAGTATGAGATAAAATATAAGAAACTGGAATCGATGTTCAGTTTGGAGAAAGAGAAACTGGCTGAGGAGAGGATAAAATCGAAAACGGAAGTTGCGGCGCTAAAGAAAAAGTCGGAGGATACACTGATTGATTTGGGTAATCCACTATTGAAATTTACAACAGCAAACATTCATATAAAATCAATATAATACCCCAAGGCTAAAGAATCAGGTTCGAATTAAGTTAAAAAGCATTGAGCTGATAATTTCTTCAAGAGTGAGAGCAAGTAACAGTATGACAAACAGGCTGACCACTGGGCAATGCAGTATTGATCAAAGCAAATAAAAAAGTTGCTAGCGCCACAGGTGTAGAACCAAAAACGTATGACGTACAGCAGGTCAAATTATTTAAAATGACCACAAAAAAGAGGCGCGCCTGAAAAGCTACCGATAATAAAATTAAGGCAAATTTCAGAAAAGCTGCGCACCACTTATGCAAAGAAGGAAAAAACGTGGCAGGAAGAACGCGAGAAGCTCGAAGATGAGATTGCGAATCTAAGAAGTTCCATGAAAAATGATTTCGATGATTACGATGCGAAAGGTAGGCAATGAATTTTTATGTTAAATGAAGCATCTGATGCACTAAGCTGCACCCATTTCAATTAACATCATAGTATGGCATTAGATTTTTTTGTCATGATCGCATGACTTTACTGTTATCCTTATCATTATCGTGCAAAAACCCACAAATTCAGCATTTATTAATCTTTTTAAGTGAATTTCGAGTCTTTCCGGAATGCTTTACGCCGCATAAACAGTCAAAAACACAAAAACCCCCTCTCTCCGCCTAATTTAGCATTTACAACATAATGCACGAAGAAGAGAAATTTAAAAAATTGCCGAAAACAAACTATGGCATCTGCAACTTGCAGTCACTGAACGGGCGGACTGCACTGGTCTACCAGACTTTTTTAAATCAAAGAAGTGATTTACTAGAGATGCATCCGTATTCAAAAGCACACAACTATTGCTCGTAGCAGTTTAAAAGTCAAAACGCCCTCCACACTGATTCTCTCTAAGAAGCAGAGGCATTCGAAAGTAACGATAGCACGTTTTAACAGTAACCAACTGCTAACAAACTGGTTAATTTTTCAGGGGCTGCTTACAAACAAGCTGATAGCGGGTTTGTACAGTGGCATCTGTCAAATCACCGCCACCGAAATAAATGACTCAAAGATGGGCTAACTGTCTCCCACACGCGTACCAGGGGTTACCAAGAATGCCAAGACTGCTCGGTCTATCAGGGTAGGATTCCCCTGTTAATGATACACTAGGGTACCCACACACGCCGAGCATAACTATTTCAGGCTCTTTGATAGTTAATTGTAAAAAAATTCCAAATACACTAAAATTTTAAGCTCCCTTGGATTTGGCCGGTTGGATTATCAGTAAAAGAAATTTGATAAATATAACTAACTGTTTTTTGTATATTATAAAAAAACTAGTTTAAACTTTATCCAGTGTGCCTGCGCTCAGTTACTTAACTTTTCACAAGATTCGTTTCATTAATCAATAAAAAACGGCATGCATTAGCGGACTAGCGTGTCTCGTCAACGAAGTCCTCTCTCGAAAACTGTTCCGACCGGAAGGGAAGTGAACACCCTTCTTCGCATCCAGCGCAACATATTACACTACACCACCGATCCTTGTACTCCAGGTTCAGCCTAGCAGCACATCTACTGTGTATCTGCCTTTCAGTTCAAGATACATCTTCGCTTTTTCTTTATGACGGCTTCTTGGCCGGCATTTCGCGGGTTTTCCCTGATAGCGTAGTCCATTCAGTGAATTTTCCTGTCAGAAATAGTGACTTGCACAAGCTATAAAATTAGCTTGAAGTCAGATCTGGGGTCGCAGGTCAGGGAGCACTGAGAACAGATATCTGGTTTTAAATTTAAGCAAATTATTGCTTTGCAGAGGTTGATTGTGTGCCGATTCCTGTTCTACATCAGCCAGCACAAGCTAGTGAAGAGGAAAGTGACGCCGATCTGAAAAAAGAACTAGCAGGCTTGCAAAAAAAGGTCATTTTCGCGCAATTTTTATGAGAGGCTAGAGGGAAGTTGAGCCTTGTATTGTTCGTTTAGTGTGAGAAATTCTTCGAGGAACTAAGCCAATGCCTTGTTTAGAATGCGCAGCTGGTGGAGGAAGTTGCAAAACTGACCGCCACAAACGATGATTTGCGATCGGAGCTGACTGCGACACAGCAAAAGTGGTCGAAAGATAAGGACAATCTGCTTCACAAGGCACGACAAGAGGAAAAGGTATCACGCACACTGGGATGTTTCGCTGTATTACATCAGACCTGAACATTGTCATTACAGATTCGCAACGTGGAACTTGACGCTTTGCAGCAGAAATTTGCAAGTCGCATGCGTATTATGGAGGATACAAATAAATCGCTGCATTCACAGGTGCTGCATATTGCCAGTCATTTCTTTCGTCTGCTCAAAATTATCGAAAGTTTGGATAGTAGGATACTAGAAGTGGCATGCTTTGGAATGTTTGAAAGAGTTCTTAACTCATAGTTCTACGTCTCCATTTATGCAGCTGACAAATTATCCACTTGCTCGATCACATCCAGAAATGTAGTAACAGAACTCCAGCTTCCATGTGTTGTTCCTAAAAGCAGACCATGGTGATGTTCTGCTGAACACCGTTATTTGAACTCTAATAGCATTTGATGGAAAAAAGTACCTTCCTCTAAGGCTCATCTTTTTTATTTATAAATATTTGCCGAACAAAACGAGCATGCCTCGTAGGTTGATTCTGGCACCAGTCTGGTCAAATTTACTGGTTAAAAAAAATTCAGCTGGTTCAAGCTCGGCGGGAGCGTGATTATCACCGCGAAGCGCTCTACACCTTTGAACGGAAAATGTCCGAAGAACAGCAGAACGATGAGAATGATGTGAAACGACAAAAGGAGCTGAAACAGAAATGCGCGGATATGGTATTTATGTTTAACAAAGATGTTATTGATGAAACATAAAATATATTGAGAAATACAAAAATATATAAAAAAAAAAAACCGATGAAGAATGTTTTGATCTGTTAACCCTTATACGTTCCCTTCCATCATCGCACGTTGCGGTGTTGATAAGTGTAGATAATGCAAAGTAAATGTGTATAATTTTACACACGGAGACAATATCTTAAATATTAAAAAATAAGTTACTCTTACAAAAAACAAAAAAAAAAACAAAGGAATTCCCGCTTGCCTTCTTATGGGCGCTATTAATCAAGTGATGAAGAAGTCTGTTTTCACATTTTTGGTGGTGGCGCTAAATCTTAGTATAATCAACTGCTGTTTTTTTTATCATTGTGTTCCTTCTTGCTACTGATGCAGCTAACTTCTAATTTTCTTGTACATTGTGAGCTCTCGGTCTGCAACACTGCTTCACTAGTGCACTAGAAATATGTACATTTTCAGACGAAACAAATCCAAAATCTTACCGAAGAAGTAGCAAAATTGAATACCGATTTAAAGCTGTCGAAAGAAGCCCATGAAGCAGATCGAGCACTGTGGGCTGTGGAAAAGTCACACATCAAGCCAAATAAATCAGCAGCCCTCGGCAACAGTACTGTTGCTAATGCGCAGAACATTAAGGTTAAAAATTATGGCTTTCTGACAACTATTGTCTTCCATCCGAAGCGGAAAGGCATGACTGACTGATTGCTCTTCTGAGTGAGTGGGTGCAAAAAGATTTTGAAAGCTGTAAGTAAAAGGCCGTTTCTGATCGTTTTCGTGAATTTTTTCGAAAATCTCGAGTTTTTATACAAAAAATGTAATTGTAAGGCTACTAAAGGACGTTAGAATACAAAACACGATTGCACTGAATGAGCCACTGTATTGAATAAGCTATCACATATTAGCTTGACGCTTAAGATTTCAGTGTTAGGAAAATTTCATTTGACTCATTTGCTTTTAAATTCCTTTAAATTTGTTATTCGCGATGACAGTACGCTGATGATTAAATTCAGCAGGTTTTTTAAAGAAACATTTCGACTAAATATGAGGAACGGCGAGGTACCATGCGACTCACCGGTATTTAACTTCGTTTTGGAATAACTGCCTTCATACACATCACCCAAAGCCTATTTTTACTGAGATTGCGAGCAAAAGAATTTTGCCATAAAATATTTATTTGGCTAGGGCTATATCCAGGTGAAACATGTGAACAATAGATGTCATCAAAAGAAGGGGAAGGGGACATTATTCTGAGGGAAATTTCACCGAGAAAACCTGCTTTTATTGAGATGAGGCGTGCATAAAGCGCTGATTTTTAGCAAAAATGGATAATATAGTGCAATTCGTTTCGCGCAAGCGCATTTGTATTTTACAGATCACTGAAAGCGCACTGAAGGCTGCGGAGACTGTGCAGAAGAAATAC